GTATGTAGGGACAGAGTAACCACACAGCTACAGGGTTCAGCAGAGTTGGGAAGTGAGAAGGACCAAAACATTGATGCCAGGTAGGTAGACTGAGCCAGGTTATAAGAGCCTGTCAGTCTTATGCCATAGTTTCTACACTGTTAACATTGGGGGCCATGTTCTTCCTTGTTGTATGGGGACTGTCACTGTCCTGAGGCCTACAGATCCTCAACAGCCTTCCTAGTGTCTTCCCACTAAAAGCCAATAGCACCTTCACCACCAGTAGTGACAACCAACCACTTCTGCAGACATTGCCCAATACCCCTGAGGGAAACCACCCTTCTTCCCTTGGGCAGCCAAGAATAGCTGCTGTAGTGGACAGAGATGCCCTGGAATAGATGACCGGTGCTATTTGTGCAATAAATTAATGAAGGCAGCAAAAGCAAAAATACTGGAGAAGAAAGGTCACATTCTCTGAGTCAAGAAGAAATACAGAGGATAAAGAGAATACAAGTCATTTTAAAGAGGAAAGGAAGGAAATCTTAAGAGCCCAGAATGATTCCAAGATAAAGGTCATTGCTGAGAGGTTCAGAGCAGAGGCTGGTTTGAAGCTTGAGGAGAATGGGTAGGTGTCAAGAGAGGAGCTCATAAGTGTGCAAGTAGGCTCAAGGAGACACGTCCATTTCTGGAGCACATGAAAAGATGTCAGGGAGCCCACAGAGCTTACTGCTCTGTTTTAAGAATCATATAATTAGCACATATGGTGGGGACACACTGGTTTTCTACTGATAGTACAATAGTTATATAAAGTTTCACTACAACACGTTTTTAAGAAGCTGATTCTGACAAACACAGTGCTTCCACTTACTAGACTCGCTTGACATAGACACACTTCCAACACCAGATGTGCAGCGGGTTTCCCCATGCACTAGGAAATTCTCCAAAGGACACTTAGATGCTGATTCTCTACTCAGAGACAGCGTTAGGTCCCACAAATTAAGGGATCAGTCTTCTCCACTGTTGTCATTTCATATAGCAATCTCAATCCCAGATTGTAACCTGGACTTCTTGACCGATGGGCTATAGACTGGGATTTCCACCATCCCCTCCTGGAGTTTGATAACTTGCTAAGATGCCTCACAGAACATAGGGAAACGTTTATTATAAAGGATACTGATGAACAGCCAGATGGAGGGCAGGGCCCAGTGGATCCAAAACAAAGGAACTTCTGTCATTGTAAAGCTGGGATGCATCACCCTCCTGGCATGTGAATGTATTTATCAACCCAAAAGCCTGTCAAATTTCCTGCTCATGAGTATTCATACAGCATAATCACTAGCTCTATCTACCCTTTTCTGACACTGATAACTGGAGCTAAAAGTTCCAGCTAATTGTTGGGTCTTTCTGGTGTCTGGTCCCACGCTGAAGCTAGGTGGGCTCCACTTGAGTCACCTAAATGCCATAAGCTCAGAAGTAATGTAAAAAAAAAAAAAAAAAAAAAGCT